CAGGATTTGTTGATATGAAACTAATTCCAATAACAAAAAAAATTTGTTGAGTGATATGCATATATTCATTCAAACTATATTATTATGGATAAAGAAAATTATAAATGTTAGATATCTTTTGGAGATACTGCCCTAATTAGTAGTTTATATATGACCATGTTTTTTAGAAAACTGAGTAGACATTTAAGTCTATATGCTTGTGCCTAGGCTTACACATAGTAGGTCTTCAATAAGTATTTGCTGGGTAAATGAATGAATTAATAGTATTGATGCTGACTTTAGGAATCAATCTTATTGCATTTTGAGACAAAGTAGTTTTTAAAAGTTTATGATTTATAGTAGTTACCATTATGTAAATCATTCAATGATACCCATTTATAGTATCTTAATATTTGCTACAACTTACAGATATCTTGTCACATGTTGTTTGTACCCACTGAGATAGCAGAAATTAATAGGGGATTTATGAACATTGCCTAAATTAGATCAGGAAAAGATTATAGCCATGTTTGTTTATGCCAATGAGCACCCCTCAACTGTAAAGGAATAAATTTATAGAATAATTACAGATAAAAATCCATATGTTAAAGAAAATATAAGAATACTTAATAAGCATTTTATCTTACATAATTAGTATCTTGATGTTAACACATTTAATAATAATACAAATGTCTTTATTACACATCATTATCTTTCTACTGACAGTATTTTATGATGTTTCATTATTATTTGGTCAATTAGCAGTGATAATTTAAGCACTCAAATTAATCCATCAGATTTAAAACCAGTGGTTATATGGTTTTTCATTTGCATATGGAAAGATAACATTTGATTATAGGCCTCATTATGAACGTGAGGACCATAGGGCCATTGATGACAAAATCAATTATTGAAGTTTTTGTATTGAGACTTAAAAAAATTTCTTCAGTCCCATTCAAATAATTTCAAATTACAAAATCACTATAATTTATTGTAAGTTTTAAATTATGGTATGTTTGGTATAAGCACTTTTCACATGAGATCTACCCGCTCACAAATTTTTAAGTGCATAATACAGTATTATTAACCAGAGCTATAATTTTGTACCACAGATCTTTAGAACTTATTCATCTTATGTAATGGAAACTTTATACACATTGAGCAGCAACTCCCCACTTCTCCCATCCTCAGTCCCTGGCAACTACAATTCACTCTTTTGTTTCTATGAGTTTGACATTTTAGATGCTTCATAATTATGCAGTATTTGTCTTTCTATGACTTGCTTATTTCACTTAGTGTAATGTTCCCCAGGTTCATCCATGTTATTATTTATGGCAGGATTTTCTTCTTTTTTTTAAGGGTGAATAACATTTCGTTATATGTATATGCCACATTTCTTTGATGGACACTTAGATTCTTTTCATATCTTGGCTGTTTTGTGAATAATAGTGCAGTAAACATGGGAGTGCAGCTATCTCTTTGAGACTTTTAGTTCTTTTGGTTATATACCCAGAAGTGGGATTGGTACATCATATGGTAGTTCTAGTTTTAATTATTTGTAGAATCTCCATAGTGTTCTCTATAGCAGCTACACCATTTTACATTTCTACCAACAATGTACAAGGGTTCCAGTTCCTCCACCACATCCTCATAACACTTCGTTTTGGTTTTGGTAAGAGCCATTGAAAGAGCTGTGAGGTGATATCTCATTATGGTTTTGATCTGCATTTTCCTCATGATATTGAGGGTATTTTTGTATACCTGTTGGCCATCTCTATGTCTTCTTTGGAGAAATATCTTTAGAAATATCTTTAATTGAGTTACTAAATTGCCCATATTTTCATAAAGTTATGGAATATTTAATTTTAAAGCATTTGAAACATATGTAATAAAAGCATCCAAGGACAGGTAACAGTTTGAAACATTATGAAAGCAGGACATTTTTAAAATAAGAAACCTTCAATACTATCTGGATAAGTTTCATATGTCATTACCTCTCTTCAAATTCTCTATTTATCTAAGCCTGTGGTTGTGATCACTAAGGAATGCTTTTAAAGACAAGAAAGCCAAAGGCATTAATAGCCATTGGTTAATATTTACTGATCATGGCAAAAACTTTATTGTTTGTGAAAGGCTATCTGATTAGGGAACTATTTTAAACTAGCTTTGCTCTAGTAATTCTCAAAATAGCAGTGCCCAATCATGAAATTCTTATCATTTCTTCAACCTAAGATAAAGCCAATTTACATACTATAAGGGAAATATATTAGGATTTAAGATATTTAAGACGTCTAATCTTAATTTTAAGCAATTTGTTAATTTGAAAAGGGGAGAGTTGGAATATATTTTAATGAAAAAAATGCAAAAATATGAAGTCATACAAAATGAACATTATGTTTGTGTGGGTTACTCCGGAGTCTTGTTAGTTTGCAGAAAATCTTACAATATCCATTATACTACAGCATTTTCACCCTATATGTACTTGGTTAACTAGTCTCCAATAGGGGGGATTAAGGCATATTGGGAGATTAAGACAGTTTCCTTGACTATTTCTTAGGGAAAGATTTTCTGAATGATTCTAGAAGTAATTTAAATATGATTCAGGTACTTTTTTTTTTTTAATTAACAAAGGGATTTTGGATTGTTATTTGTTTATATAGAGTAGTCTTAACCTGGGCATGGCTTGGACTTGAGATCATGATTTTCAAGTGTAATTATTATCTAGTCTGCTTAGACTCTGCATCACTTTAGATAAGTCATAGTGATAAAGCTTAGAACTAATTATTAGGACATAATTATTTAGGTAATTAATTTTATGTTATTTTTTCTAGGAAGTTCACTTAATTTTCCTATATTTTGCACCAGTAAAACAGAGGGGGGTCTTAATGGACTTGCAGTATTTGATGTATTCTATAACATGTGTGGAAAGTTTTCCAGCTATGAACACATAGCTTAGCAAAAATGTACTGTAGTAGTGTGTTGGTTTTCCTCTAAAGAAAATCAGTAACTCATTTATGATCTCTTTAACAAAAATCAGATAAGTTAAAATAATAAAAATAACGATTTCCTCAAAATGAAATTAAATTTTTAAAAATTATTATTATGGGGCGCCTGGGTGGCTCAGTTGGTTAAGCAACTGCCTTCGGCTCAGGTCATAATCCTGGAGTCCCGAGATCGAGTCCCGCATCGGACTCCCTGCTCGGCGGGGAGTCTGCTTCTCCCTCTGATTCTCCCCCTCTGATGCTCTCTGTCTCCCATTCTCTCTCTCAGATAAATAAATAAAAAATCTTAAAAAAAAATTATTATTATGGTCATATGATTCAGTGATGAAGTTTAGCAGCATGAGTTTGGGGATAAAAGCATATCACTACTTGAATGAAAAAAAAATGTTGGCTTTACTTTTTTTTTTAAAGAAGAGGTGGAGGTAGATTTTTTTTTTTTTTGAAGATTTCATTTATTTATTTTACAGAGAGAGAGATAGTGAGAGCAAGAACACAAGCAGGGGGAGAGGGAGAGGGAGAAGCAGGCTTCCTGCCGAGCTGGGAGCCCAATGTGGGACTCGATCCCAGGACCCTGGGATCATGACCTGAGTTGAAGGCAGATGCTTAACGGCTGAGCCACCCAGGCACCCTCTCATATTTTTTAATGGTCCCATTACCTACAACCCTATTTTTATATTAGAAGAAGTAAACTGCCAACACCTGAGTACAATGGTAGCTGTGGAATTTTTGTATAGATGGGTTTAGGGATTTGCCATAAAGCTTCATTTTCACAACAGATAGCCACATTGTTTTTTACTTTGGTTTTTGAGATGGGTTCTCTGAGGTAGAGCTGATGGAGGTTATGGTGGGGCTAAGGCCACTGCTACTTCTCACAGTTTCAGGTCATTTGAACTGTTCAGATCTAGAGGATTACCTTCTGAATAGAGCATAATTAAATATTTTCTTTTAAGAAGGCAAATAGTACTAAAAACTGTCATGGATACAAAGATAACTTACTCAAAAGACCAAGTCTTTGAGGTTAATTAATTATATGTATGCAAATGGTGCTGTTGTTGTGCAACTTGCAAATGGTTCATATGAAGCGGGGGAAATCGGAGGGGTAGACGAACCATGAGAGACGATGGACTCTGAAAAACAAACAGGGTTCTAGAGGGGAGGGGCGTGGGAGGATGGGTTAGCCTGGTGGTGGGTATTGAGGAGGGCACATTCTGCATGGAGCACTGGGTGTTATGCACAAACAATGAATCATGGAACACTTCATCTAAAACTAATGATGTAATGTATGGGTATTAACATAAGAATAAAAAAAAAGAACAAAACAAAAAAAAAGCAATCTTATTAGGAATTTTTATATGACAACCCATTTAGCAGTTAAAGTTACATAGTTTAAGGGGCACCTGAGTGGCTCAGTCGGTTAAGCGTCTGCCTTCGGCTCAGGTCATGATCCCAGGGTCCTGGGATGGAGCCCCGCATCGGGCTCCCTGCTCAGTGGGAAGCCTGCTTCTCCCTCTCCCGCTCCCCCTGCTTGTGTTCCCTCTCTCGCTGTGTCTCTCTCTGTCAAATAAATAAATAAAATCTTTAAAAAAAAAGTTATAGTTTAAAGCAGTTCCACTGAGTTAAAGACATGTCTAAATTTTAACGTATTTTAGGATAAATGCATATATGCCTTTTTCCTCAATTAGTCCAAATTAGGGAGATTTTACTATGTATTTAATTCCAGGGCTGCTTGTAGGTACCTGGTAAAGGAGTAATGAATGTTGTACATTAGGTAAGAAGCTGCAATTGATTTTTGGTACTATTTGGCTTATCTTTTCTGCTTAAGTGCTGATATTTAAGTTGTAGGGAAACCTCTGAATGGGTCTGTATTATTATGTTTATCCTTTTCCTTGAACTAATGAAATAAACACATTATTGATTTTTGGCATAGGCTTTGTTAATGTAGTTAATATGCCTTACTAATTTATTTCATGTGATTGGATTAGTACCATTATTGTTTATGAATAAACTTTTTTCCTTTAGTTCAAAAGAATGTAGAAGCTTCAGAAGAAAAGAAAATCCTCCCTGCAAAGAAGAAAGTGAAAGAATTGAGAATTTTGGATCCCAAAACGGCTCAGAATCTGTGTATGTGATGTTTTCTGTATAAGGGGTGGTGGTGATGGTGGTGATGAGGAGTTGTTGAATATTTTTACACAGAGTTGTAAATGATTTGAACAGGTATATTTAGCATCTGCTAGAAACAAAATTGTGTGTAAACGTGATTTGAATTGCCTTTTTGTCATTCAGACCATCATAATTTAGTCTTCCTCAGGCCAGATGAAACTTATGAATAATAAAGCTTTGGAAAATACTGATAATTAAGCACTGTTACAGAGTAAGACATAAGGTTCACTCAAAGAGTTCAAAAGAGTGTTATGTTTCCCCTTTCTGCCTAGACCTAGGTGTGATAGTTTTGGACTATTCAGTGGTCACATTGGACAAATCCTTTTATTGCTATGCCTTTATAGTTGAAGTAATTGTGATGTTAGAGAGTTATATTTTTAACCAGTGCACTTAACTACTGGTAGTGAACCGGGGGTAGGAATTAAGATGGTGAAGGAGTTGGGGAACCCAAAGCTTGTCACAGCTCTTGAACACAGCTAAGTGGTTATCAAATCATTCTGAGCGCTCAAGAAAATATTTGGAGGTCTGAGAGAACAAAAACTGCAAGTCAACAATTAGAAAAGCTACCACCTTTTGGAAGGAATCCCAGAACATGAAGGAAGAGAAAAGGGGGCAGAAGGTTTGTTTGTTTCAATTATAATTGAAAACTTTCCTAATCTAGGAGATACATCAAAATCCAAGAAGCAAAAAGACCTCGTATTAAATCTAACAAAAGCTCACCATTGCCAAGGCATATCATAGTCAAATTCACAAAATACAGCCAAGGAAAGAATCCTGAAAGCAGAAAAGGATAAAAAGTCCTTAAACTACAGGGGAAACAGATCACATTCACAGCAGGTCTGTCCACAGAAACTTGGCAGGCCGCAAGAGAGTGTCAGGATATATTCAATGTGCTACATGGGAAAAATATGCATCCAGGAAATCTTTATCCAGCAAAGCTGTCATTCAGAACAGGAGAGATAAAGAGTCTCAGACAAACAAAACTTAAGGAGTTCATGGCCACTAAACCAGCCCTGCACGAAATTTTAAAGGGGGATCTTTGAGTGGAGAAGAAAAAAAAACAAAAGCAACAAAGACTAGAAAGGAACAGAAAACATCCTCAGAAATACCAACTCTACAGGTAACACAATGGTACTAAATTCATATCTTTACTGAAAGATATGAATCACTCTGAATGTAAATGGACTAAATGCTCGAACCAAAGACATAGCATATCAGAATGGATTAAAAAAAACAAGATCTATCTATATGCTCCCTCCAAGAGACTCATTTTAGACCTAAACACACCTGCAGATTGAAAGTGAGGGGATGGACAAGCATCTATCATGCTAATGGATATCAAAAGAAAGCTGGAGTAGCCATAAACATATCAGAGAACTAGATATTTAAGCAAAGAATGTAACAAGAGATGAAGAAGGGAATTATATCATAAAAAAGGGTTCTATCCATCAAGAAGATCTAACAATTGTAAATATTTATGCCCCCAAATTAGGAGAGCCCAAATATATAAATCAATCAACAATAAACATAAAGAAACTCATTGATACAGTAATACTGGGTAACTTTAACACCCTACTTAGAGCAATAGACAGATCATCTAAGCAGAAAATCAACAAGGAAACAATGACTTTGAATGACACAGTGGACCAGATGGACTTCACGAATATATTCTCAACATTTCATTGTAAAGCAGCAGAATACACATTCTTTTTGAGTCTACATGGAACAATCTCCAGAATAGATTACATCCTGGGTCACAAATCAGGCCTCAAGAAGTACAAAAAGTTAGAGATCATACCATGCATATTTTCAGACCACAATACTGTGAAACCTGAAGTGAATCACAAGAAAAATTTTGGAAAGACCACAAATACATGGAGGTTAAAGAACATCCTACTAAAGAATGAATGGGTTAACAAGGAAATTAAAGAAGAAATAAAAAAAATAATATGGAAACAAATGAAAAAGAAAACATGACACTCCAAAACCTTTCAGATGCAGCAAAGGCATTCCTAAGAAGGAAGTATATTGAAATACAGGCCTACCTCAAGAAACAAACGTCTCAAATACACAACCTAACCTTATACCTAAAGCAGCTAAAATAGGAACAGGAAATAAAGCCTAAATCCAACAGAAGAATGGAAATAATAAGAATGATAGAGAAACCAATGATACAGAAACAACAACAACAAAAAATCATTAGAACAGATCAACAGTACTAAGAGCTGCTTCTTTGAAAGACCCAATAAAACTAATAAACCCCTACCCAGACATATAAAAAAAAAGAGAGAGAGAGAGAGAGAAAGAAACCAAATAGAGAAAATAACAAATGAAAGAAGATAGATCAGAGCCAACACCACAGAAATACAAACAATTATAAGGCAATACTATGAAAAATTATATGCCAACAAAGTGGACAATCTGGAAGAAATGAAGAAATTCATAGAAACTTACAAACTATCAAAACTGAAACAGGAAGAAATAGAAAATTTGAACACACCCATAACTAACAACGAAATTGAATCAGTAATCAAAAATCTCCCAACAAACAAGAGTCCTGGGCCAGATGGCTTCCCAGGAAAATTCTGCCAGACATTTAAAGAAGAGTTAATACTATTCTTCTTAAACTGTTTCAGAAGATAGAGATGGAAGGAAAACTTCCAAACTCATTCAATAAAGTCAGCATTACCTTGATTTCAAGACCAGACAAAGACCCTACTAAAAAAGAGAACTACAGGCCAATATCCCTGATGAACATGGATGCAGAAATTCTCAATAAAATACTAGCTAATTTAATTCAACAGTACATTAAAAGAATTATTCAATATGACCAAGTGGGATTTATTACTAGGCTGCAGGGGTGTTTCAATATTTGTAAATCAATGTGATACACCACAGTAATGAAAGAAAGGATATGGACCACTGATCCTCTCAATAGATGCAGAAAAAGCATTTGACAAAATGCACCATCCTTTCTTGATAAAAATCCTCAACAACGTAGAAATAGGTGGAAAATTCCTCAACATCATGAAGGCCATATACAGAAGACCCACAGGTAATACCATCCTCAATGGGGAAAAACTGAGAGCTTTTCCTCTATGATCAGGAACAAGACAAGGATGTCTACTCTCACCATTACTGTTTAACATAGTACTGGAAGTCTTAGCCTCAGCAATCAGACAACAGAAAGAAATAAAAGGCATCAAAATTGGCAAGGATAAAGTCAAACTTTCACTATTTGCAGACGACATGATACTCTATGTAGAAAACCTGAAAGACTCCAACAATGCTTGCTAGAAGTAATATATGAATTCCCCAAAGTTGCAGGATATAAAATGAACTTGCAGAAATCTGCTGCATTCCTATACAGCAATAGTGAAGCAGCAGAAAAAGTAAATAAGGAATCGATCCTATTTGCAATTGCACCGAAAACAATGATACCTAGAAATAAACTAAAGAAGTAAAAGATCTGTACTCTGAAAACTACAGAACAGTTATGAAAGAAATTGAAGAGGACACAAAGAAATGGAAAAGCATTCTATTCTCATGGACTGGAAAAATAAACACTGTTGAAATGTATATACTATCCAGGGGTGCCTGGGTGGCTCAGACGTTAAGCGTCTGCCTTCAGCTCAGGTCATGATCCCAGGGTCCTGGGATTGAGCCCCACATCGAGCTCCCTTCTCAGTGGGGAGCCTGCTTCTCCCTCTCCCACTCCCCCTGCTTGTGTTCACTCTCTCGCTGTAATCTCTCTCTGTCAGATAAATAAATAAAATCTTTAAAAAAAATGTATATACTATCCAAAGTAATCTACACACTTAATGCAATCCCTATCAAAATATCACTATCATTTTTCACAAACAATCCTAAAATTTGTATGGAATTACAAAGGACCCTGAATGGGCAAAGCAATATTGAAAAAGAAAAACAAAACAGGAGGCAACACCATTCCAGATTTCAAGTTACATAACAAAGATACAGTGATCCAGGCAGTATGGTACTGGCACAAAAATACACACATAGATCAATGGACTGTAATAGAAAACACAGAAATGGACCCACAGTATATGGTCACCTCATCTTTGAGAAAGGAGGAACAAATATCCAATGGAGAAAAGATAGTTTCTTCAGAAAATGGTGTCAGGAAAACTGGACAGTGGCATGGAGAAGAATGAAAGCGGACCATTTTCGTACACCATAAACAAAATTAAATTCAAAATCAATGAAAGACCTAAATGTGAGACAGGAAACCATCAAAATTCTTGAGAAGAACACAGGCAGAAACATCTTTGGCCTCGACCATAGCAACTTATTACTGGACACGTCTCTGGACACAAGGGAAGCAAAAGCAAAAATAAACTATCAGGGCTTCATTAAGATAAAAAGTTTTTGCACAGCAAAGGAAACAATCAACAAAACGAAAAGGTAGGAGAGGAGGGGGGAAAGATGGCGGAGGACTAGGGGACCCTATTTCAACTGGTCCCCGGAATTGAGCTGGATATCTACCAGACCACTCTGAGCACCCACGAAACCAGCCTGAGATGTAAGATCTGGATCTCAAAAAAACAGAATATCGCAGGTGGTTGGTTTTGAGGTATGAAGTGTGGAGCCGTGATTCTGCGGGCAGATATCACAGGATAAACGGCAGCGGGAGGGTGCCTGGCCGTGGGGATCCTGCACCGCCGGTGAGCAAGTCTCGCGCGCTGGGGACGGGGCACAGACTCGCAGACCCATAGCAGCGGGGAAAGGACTCTAGGGCAGCCCCTGGGCTGGAAACCCGGAGCAGTGGAGTTGGGTGCGCATGAACTGGGAGCGGCTGGCGGTTTTAGAAGCACAAAGGGCAGAGATGTGCCCCAACCTGGAGGCAGGACTGGGAGCACTGCGGAGGGGTGCGCAACCCAGACCGCTGCAGTTTTTAGGAGCAGGGACAGAAACGGAGACAGTGTGTCCTGGAGAGCTCA